GTGGAAACGTTCGACGTTTGTGGCGGGACGTGCAGCATCTCGTCTCCTTACCTTGATCCTATCTGCTGTGAAATGCCGATGCGGACTTCTCCGAGTTCCTGAGTGAAAGAGAACAAAAAAGGCTGACGGAGGATGTTCAGGTTCGCGGCCAAGGAGGCAGCTTTCAAGGCGCATCCGTTCTGGAGGCTGGGGTTCGGGGACGTGGTTATTTCGAAGCCTGAAGGCTGGGAGGGACACGGGAGCGGGCCGCCTGTTGCTGTCGTTGGCGGGGCGGGAGGCGGGCAGAGCGCGTTGTTGTCGATCAGCCATGATGGGGACTATGCCACGGCTGTGTGTTTGGGGTTCGACAGGAGGGCGGGCGGGTTGAAGGGCGACGGTGGCGGGGCGTCATCATGAGGCGGTCGTCTGTGGGATGGGTGTTTTGATTTATGGTATTTGCACTTTTCCCATTGAGGGGGGGCTTTTCTGTGATGGACTGGCCATGATTGAGCGATGGTCAAAAATATACGAGTTGGCTATAGGCCGTCGCCAGCCTGAAGGGCATCGACGTGGGAATCAAGTTTCGAGGCTGGATGTTCAGACACCTATGCTTGCTAGGCTTCTGGTCTGCCAGCTGAATTTGTATGGGACCTCTGTCGAACGTCTGTACGTGCAGCACCACTCGGACATCAGCTCTCTTCTCGTCAACATCCAATCGTATGTCTGAACAATGTGCAGAGGGGGTACCAGCAGCAACTGAATCCAGGCTCCCAATCGTATGTGACCCCCACTCAGAGCAGCCTTCTCCTGTGACCAGTAGATACAAGTGAGGCATCGTCGCAGCTTCGATCTGCAACCCAGCACGGGAGGTCGACTTCGTGCAGCCTTCTGTAGCCTATGGAAGCCAACAAACCTGGCTCACACCGCACTTTGACTGTCGTACAAGTCGGTGAGGCCCGAGCCAGGTGAACTATTGCTTTCACCACCTGGACCAGCCAAACATGCGGGCGAGCATTGGCGATATCGGGGGGGGCCCACCCGGCACCTGAGAAGCTAGGGTGGGTGCGCGAGAGATTGCCCCCGCGGCGCCCGGAAGCCCCACGCCGTAGGCACAAACTGCAGCTGTCAACGCCCTGGAAGTCTGCGCCCGGGACGCTATTCGACCGCTGGGCTTCGGTGAGGCGGCGGGTCGGCAGGGACTGATCCAACTGGACGCAGCGCCCTGCGGCTGCATGCTGCTGGGCCCACCTTCTGATCTCCAGCAGCCGGGAACTACCTCAGACGAGGCAAGTTCAGTGAGCCAAGGTCATGCGAGGTGCTGATGCTTTCATGATACAAAACTGACCGAGTTTCTCACTCTCGCCCTCTTCATCACATCAACGTCGATTTTCTGCGACATTGCGATGCACTATTCAGCAAGCCGGCTTGCTTTCAATCGCCTGCATAAGCATGATACCTGATATTGTACCCGAGCGGAGCTTCGTGCTCGCAGCTACCGGGCCTCAATCCTTGCTATCCTCTTCAAGGTGAGTCGTTGGCCATCCTCGGCAGTCTCCAAATGCAACAGCCGCACGTCCTTGGAAAGACGAGGCACTGACGATACCCACCCCCTAGTATCAACGATGGCCGACTTCCATGGGTTACCGAAATCTCTCTTTTGGCCGAAGCTGGGCACCTTCAGATTCTGATCATACTCGTTTCCCTGCTCTGGACCTCATACCGTTTACTCAACCGCCAATACACCAAAAGGATTCGTCATCAGCACAGTGCCTCCGCCATCCGATGGAGATGGGAAGCCTGCGCTCTCGCCATCCGCGCAACCACCTTCGTTTTCTTGGTCCTCGCTGCGTCCGAAGGCCAGACCAATGCTCTCAGTGCCGTTTGTGCTGCGTACGCATTGATCTTCGCCTTGTCGAGACTCATCAACGACATGGAATGGCGCCACATTGCCTTGCACCAAACGAATTTTGTTCTCACGACCACCCTCATCCTCGTCGCGGCATCGGCCATCTTGCCATGTATCGAGGCACGAGAGCCAGCGACGATTGCCTTTCCTCTGAAAGGGGCTGTCATCAGCCTGGCGCTTTCCGTCTTCGTCTCTCTCATCACCCCACGCGAATGGGTCCCCCCTTCTCTCAAGCATGCACTGCCAAAGGGGGCGGTCGAGACGGATCCCGCCCCTGAGGAGGTTTGCAGCTGGGCGGACTATTTCCTGACCTACGACTGGTTGACACCGTTAATCTGGACAGGTGCTTCCCGCCCTGTCACCATTGACGACCTGCCCAAGCTAGCGTGGTACGACGACCCGCTGCTACTGTTGTCCAAAATTAAGGCGGCCCGGGCCAAGAGCAAAAACACACTCTGGACCGTGCTTCGCCTCCTGAAAAAGGAGGCTCTCATCATGGCAAGCTGCATCGCCACGGCCTACCTGCTAGAGCTCGTCGCGCCGTTCGCCCTCTATCAGCTGCTTTCCTACCTTGCTGATCCCAAAGGTTCTGTGATACGCCCCTGGGTCTGGCTGCTCCTCATGTTCTGTGGTCCTCTGTCTCGCTCGGTCTGTTTCCAGCAGTATGTCTTCACGTCGACGAGGTTGATCGTGCGCGTCAAGTCCTCCATGACCCAAGAGCTCTATCACAGAGCCATTGCCTCAAAAGATGTCGAAGACGACGTCTTTGCCATTCCTTCCAAGGATAAGAAGGCAAAGCCTGAGGCAAAGACGGCCCAGACGTCAAGCTCTACCGGCCGTCTTGCAAACCTCATGGCTGCTGATGTTGACGCCGTCTTCATGTCCCGCGACATAATCATGATCATGATCGGTGTGCCAACAGGAACGTGTGCCTCCATCATTGGCCTCTACAAAATGCTGGGCTGGCCATCCCTCGTCGGAGCTGCAGTGCTCTTGCTCGCTTCGCCGTTGTCCATTTTCATCGCTCAGCTCATGGCAAAGACGACACGTATCGTTCGTCGGGCACAAGACTCGCGCATCTCCCTCGTGTCAGAGTATCTCTCCTCAATCCGAGCTGTTAAGTACTTTGCTTGGGAGGATGCCGCCATCAACAGGATCCTGGAGGCTCGTGAAAATGAGCAGCAGCACATGTGGCGAGTGTCCTTGCTCTATGTAGGTTTGGGGCAGGTCACACAACTGATACCGCAGCTGCTCTGCTGCTCATCTTCTCGCTCCATGTAGCGGTCATGAAGCAGCCACTTACTGCTGCCACAGCTTTTACACTGTGTACCTGGTAAGA